GGATAGATAAGCGACACCTGCGTTTTCTCGTGTATAGCGAATCTACTTTTCCGATATCAGTTTATCCGCGCTGATACGATCGGTGGTAACACTCTGTCGAACGACAGGGTCCGCGATAACTAGACCATATGGTTCGACCGATTGAAGTCGCGAGATAACGTCCTTAAATATTTTCCCTTCTGAAACATCAAACATCGACCCTCGAATCGTAGCCGGCACTTAACTTCAAAATCTAAAACTCTCCCTATCGCTCATCTTCTCTGCAGTTCGTATTGTCACAAGTATCGGCAATTCAATGTACATTGACTAAAGGTGAAAAAACATTATATTCTCAACGGAAAATGATAAACAATGCTATCCCTGATGACATCTCGTATGGGATTCGAATTCCAAAACTACATACATTTCCGCCCCATTTATCACCTACGACACGAACGCCTTCCGTTTTCTTCTTTACAATCAATCTACAATTGTTTACGTTCGTTTATGCGTCCGCCTCTTAATTTGAAATCAAATCGGTCTTAGAGTGAAATTGTACAGTCACAGATATTCAGTTATGGGGAAAAGCCGCGCGTCCTAGCAGATCGTTACCAGGGTTGGTAAGGTTTGATTCATTTCGGTTAAAACCAGCGATTTTTTCCAGTTTCTTTCCAGTAAATAAAATGCATTACATAAAATCCATTCGGTTTTAACCGGTTAAAACCACCGTATAAAATCCATCAGAATGTATGTAGCGTAGAATTTATTCTAATATTGTATGTACCCTGTACCTACACGTGCGCTCCACTTACCTCCAAATAAATTAAAATGAATTCTAACCTATCTACGGTGTAGCTGGCATTCGAACATATTTTCGTTCCTACGCATCCTCGAGATAAAGCAATGGAAAGAACCCGGTTTAAATATGGTTTAAACCAGGTTCTAACCACTGTTTTTCAGGCAACGATTTAGGAGGTAAAAACCAGCAAATATGGTTAAAACCGTTTAAAATCATTGGACTGGGCTTTTCGTAAAAAAAAAAAACAAGTTTATGCCAACCTTGATCGTTACGTGGCCTGGAAGTGAGCTTACGAGAGATTTCTGACCGAATTATAAAGAAAAAGGAAAAAATAAATCGAGTCAGGGCAACGTCGGGCTTAACAACTTCAACAAATTGCCACAGACGTTCATCGATACTCAATTTCAACACGTCCACGGAATTAACGAAAATTGCGCAAAAATAGGAAAACTTCCTCTAAACAATGCCCCTTCCTTCTAGATCGTAACCTTTCTAACTCTTTTTTTATCGATGCATGTCTTAAAGAACCATCGCTCTTCGTAGCTGGCCCATTGCAAAAGCATTTTAAAAAACGAGTAAAATTCGATTTTAATTTTTGCCATTTTCCAGAGAATCATTCAATGCATGCCTTGAAAGCTTATACACAATCTTCGAGTATTTAAATTAACCTCGAAGGAAAATTGAAGACTGATATTGTAAAAGTCCGAATTCAGATTTCGAAATATCAGTATGGAACATGTCAGACAAACTTCCTTTAAACGATGCCGCTTCCTTGGAGATCGTAACATTTCTAACTCACGAACGTCGCCGACGACGATCCTTTTCAATCCGCCCATAAACACCTAATGTTCTCCCCTGCATTCAGCTCCCGCAGGTCTCATCCCCCCTCGGGGACAACCCGGAAAGACGGAAACTTCCCTCTCTCGAAGGGGTCGCTTCCTCCCCCGTCGGTGCGTTTTGCTCGCTTCCCACGGTCAAGCTTCCGCGGTTACGCCACGCGCTTATCCCGCGCCTTTAATTTATTCTCCGCCGAGGGTGGGGATACATATATATGANTATATATATATCGCGGCAGGACGCCCTAGCCGGTGGGCATAAAAGAATTATCGTTACGCGTTTACGCCGGATCGTAAAAGCCGGGGGCATTAAATGCGAATTCCCAACGAGGTGGAGGGAAACGCGTCCCCTCCGTTCGGCGCTACGTGCCGGCTGACGCGCGATCATTGCCCGCCTCGCTTTCTTTGACTTCGCCCACGTGCTTTTATCTTCCATTTCACCGACTTTCCCAGATCGACTTCTCTGAACATTGGGACAGAATGAGATTAAAAAAAAAAAAATGTCCCGTGTACACTTGATCAATTTGTGCCGCACGATACAGATAAGGCATTGAACAAGATATCGATAATTAATGAAGCGCGTTAAACGCTTTAGAGCAACTTTTTCGAAGCAGCCCGTAATATGCCGTTACTTTACAACAGTTACTGAATTAAGATGTTCACATTGATGTTCATGCCCAACGAAACTCAATTTAAATAACCTACCTCAACCTTGTAAGGCGATCGGCTCAAGTTTACGGAAATGTTGGACGTGCAAATATTGCGAAACAGAAGTGCTCTTAGTCTTCCTGTATCTCGCTTTATAGCGATATTGCAGACAAGAAGGAGAAAGGAAGGAAGTAACTGATCAACTTTGCGTTCTCCCCCCCGAGAACCCATAAATTACCTCAAGTTTTCATACCCGTTTTTCCAACTTAACACGAGAAGACGTGAAAAACCAATTCCGCGACGTCGACGTGAATTTCCTAAAAGTTAATGTCGTCCGAAAAGCGATTCTATCCGGTTCAAGGATCCCGAAATAAGCCGGGAAAAGTGAAAAATGAGATGCATTCAGAAAATTAGGGGTTGCAAAATAAATGGAGAATTAAAAATAATCATATTGTTCGTTTCATTATTCAGTCTTATTTATTGTTTACTATCAAATTTGTTATCTTGGTACTTATAGATACGTATTTGTCCGTAACGACTGTCCTATGCTTTGATTAAGGAGCTAATTTATTCAACCCTTTCACTACTGACCACCTGTACGCCACCGTGCCATAAGTGCAGGTACATTCATCACGCGGCTAATGAGCAGCCTTGTGAGTGTGGTACCTTACAACTTAAACAGCTTTGAAAGTATATAAACATAAACATGAATATCAGAATCACTGCCAGAACCAAAATAGCGTCAAGCGATCGATATCCAATTATTTAAGGCTCTGTTATGAGAAACGAAAGTGTCAGGACAATTTTACTACAATTTAGAACACTCTGGTAATCGATAAACTCGCATTTGAGCGGGATAATGGTAAAAAAGTGTCTTATGCGCTTCTATGCTAAAACGATGGGAATACGAGATCTCGGAGTAGAAATTTAATTGACCTGGAAATCATAGATGTCGCAGGGGGTCCCTCTGCAATCAATCAGGGCCTCAGAAAGCATGAATCCAGGGGATTTCTAGAGTTTTACTTCGATTTCTTTATTATTATTGTACGTAAACGACAGGTGGAGTATGCCATTTAGTGCACTACCCAATACAATTCGACCCAGCTGCCGATATAAAAACGAACGTCGGCAACGTAGGGGTTTAGAAAAATCTTCTTTATCGAAGTCGATCAAGTTCCTCGACGTATTTCACTTCACCTTAAGTGGAATTTTCACCCTACTCCTGCTACTGCTACCGCTACCATTACTACTAATGTCCATTTACTGCTTTACCATTACTACTAGTATCCATTCCCCAATATGCGAGTAAACAACCGTGTCAACAGTGAGAAAAATTTTTCCCAACGACAATTGAGCCCATAATTATGAAAGTGGTCTAAAGTCATATATTTTTTGTTTCGAAATTACATTGAATTAATTTCGTTTGAAATAATATGGCGTGAAATAACTGATAAACTCATTTTTTTTTTAATTTTGACTTAGACCACTTTCATAATTATGGGCACATTTAATAGTACTTTTGAGGGCTCAGAGGTTCAGCTCCATGCGACTTACAATAATTTATAGCTTTCTGAACCACCGCGACGAAAATGGCCATTTGCAACATCGAACATTCGATCATAAGCTCCTCCACTTTGAAGATCCCATCGAGTTCGGTCGATCAGATTGACATCCGACAAGAACGCTAACAGCTCCGGAATAATGAAAACTGAGAGCGACCCGATTGTAAGTCGATTTGGACGGTCGGAATCTCGCCAGACGCGACATCTTCCGTCAGACGCTTTGTGTCAGAGAGAGGAGAGAGGAAGAGCGAAAAGAGACGCGTAGAATGGCCGCTTCCGCACTTCGGTCGAAAGTCGGACCGTTTGGAGCGCTCACCCCTTCGGCCCACGAAGGGGGTTGCGGGGCTGAAAAGCGGCTTCGCGTCGCCTAGACGAATCCTCCAGAGGGGCCTGCCTTGTCTGAAAACCGGATTCGCCCGTCTGGAGGCCTTGGAAGAGGTTGCGAGGACTCCGGAACAAAAAGAAGCTCGGACGGTTTCGAGAAGGATACTCGGAAGCTCGGCCGGCGTTCATCGTCTACCGACGCACGAAGGTTAATCCAACAGGAGACAAGGAAAAAGGTATCGAAACCAATGAGAATATCCTTTTCCCTCTGATAGCCACATGCCAACGACAGTTCCGCAGGGCGGCAACCTTGCACTTTTCCGACCAACGTCTTCCATGCTTTCCGCGTTAAGGTGCGCGTCACGCGTCGGAACACGTCCTGACGCGACCCCAAGACAGGTCAGGGAACACGCCGGTTGAGAAACACTCCTCGCGTGACGTCACCCTCTCAAATTGTGCGAAGTTAAGTGTAAAATGACATTGGGAACGCCAATGTAAGATTCGGTGGTGGCGGTCCCGAGCCTTGGTCGATTTCGTCTAGCAGCGAAATCGGAGCGGCGCCCGACGCGCCGTCTCTTCTCTCTTTCTCGCTTTCCGGCAACGCTACGCGTGCGAGTGAGAAGGACGGCCGCGCCGATCGAGCGCATCCGTTCCGCGCTCCATGGAAGTCGGCGAGTCGCGCTCGAGCTTTCATCCCTTCGCCTTCCGAGGGATCGAACAAGTCCCTGGCGGGTCTGAATCGCAAATGCGCCTCGAGCCCCAGGAAGCGATTGGGAACGGATTAGGAGTCGACTCGCTCCCTTGGCGCGCAATCGCGAAAGGGAGCGAGAGAAACAGACTCGGAAGACTCACCTCTCGTCTAGCGCGAGCTCGCGCGTGGCCGCGTCCTGGGCGATGCGGTAATCCAATATGGCAGCCCACACACGTGTCAAAACAAATCACCGAAGAGCGGCGGCTCCGTCGGGGACCCGCCGACGATTGGCACCCTCGAGTCGGGCTCGCGAATCGGCCCCGCGGGAATTCTGTCCGCGGGCGCCAGGCGCGCGGCGGAGAGCGAAAAACTCAGCGCAGGGTTGCGCGATGTCCGAAAGACCGGACGGCAACGCGGCATCGACGCGCTACGAGTGTTCGTTGGAGACTGGCGACGCGGGCTGCGAGTCGCCGGCGAGAGGAGTGGGGGCGATGCGCACCGCGCCTGATTGGAAGCCCGACCGCGGAGGGAGAGTGCGAGCGACGAGGACAGAGGGCGCCACCCGTGCGCCCGAGGGAGAGAGACGGAGACACGTAAACGGAGCGAACGAGGTAGGAAACGACGGATATAGGGGGCCCGACGGAGACGGAGTGGCAGTGCCTCTCAAAACCCGAGAAAGTGATCTGGCAACCACTGGCTCGGTTATTTTTCATTTTTTATGACCGTCGAGACCTTTTAATATCCTATTTAACTGACGAGGTACCGCTTCCTAGAGACATTGAAACTACTTTAAATACAGAGATCGGTATTCTATGTCTGATGAAGTATCTCTCGGTATGTTCGTTGGAGATTAAATCGCATCGGAACACTTTCGGCGGAAAACTTGCACCGAATAAGTTTTCTCTTGCGGAGTTATGTTTTGCAAAAACAAACTCATTCTTTTCTAAGTTAAATTGTTGAGCCTCCCGAAGGAACAAGAAATACAATTTATTCGCCCATCAATAGAACGAAATCGGATACTTTTGCCAAATCGGTAAATCGCGTATTGGCTGAAAAATAAAATATATAACTGGAAATAAATAAATATTTGGCGAGCCCCGTTATAACGTTCTTACCAAGAAAAGTAGCAAATAAATATAATAAAATAACATTCGTGGGATCATATGTGAAATAAAAAATATACAAACGGGGAGTTTTAGGCAATTGACGTTAATTCATGAATTTATATCAATAACTTCAATCTCTCGTTATTCTGCCGGCGATGCACTATACGTGATCGAAATATTAAACGTCCAATAGTTATTTTATTGAAGTGCCGATATTTCACGCAAAGATTTCGATGGTGTTCACACATACATACCGTCTACACGTATGCTTATAAATGTTGCACGTGTATGTAATTTGGTACGAAACTTTACCGAGTTTCCTGTTAAGGTATAAGACATTTCATAGGAGTTACTTCCAGACGTGAACATTTATATATGTGTGGTATTACGTTACACGGTACAAAGCCGGTACATCTTAATTATGAGTATTAGGTTTTAATGACATTCTCTTTACTTGCTCTCTACTCGTAGCTTCGTTTTCTAGCCGGGAATGTATATATTTCCTTTATCTCTTCAAAATGGTACCTCAGAGAATGCCGGCTTTGTATTTTCATAAACTGAACATATTATAAAATAGCGGCGGAAGGTACTAATTTTAATACGTTACATGAGCATTTTTCCTTGAAATGTTGCAAGACATTTTGATTCGAATATTCTTAACGATATTGGCGATAGAGTAAAATACTTTAACTTGAATCGCTTAACCTTTGTCGTGTCGACTGTTTTGATTTCTCCCTGCCGCGTGTAATTGCAGGCATACAATTAATTTAACTCATTTGGGCATCGTTGCGAACAAAAACAAGTATGTACTCAGTGGTTGGTCACATTGCGGAAAAGCATTAACAGAAAGTGTTACCGCGTCCAGCGGTGGTTAAACAAAACCCTGGATTTTGAAACATCGTATGTATCGTTCCACTCGCTGGCCCTCTTGCTCTCCTTTTCTTTCCTCCACATTCGCGCTCGCGTCCTCTCTTTCTCTCACTCCCTGCGGCAAAACGAACATCAGTCGTACGCAGAGAGAATAAATGAAAAGAAAGTAGATGATAAATAAATAAAAGGGGAGTGGAAATCCGTTTCGATTCGAAGGTCCCTTTAATTTTCTCTATCTTTCCCGTACACTCGATGAGTCGGAGAAGGGACGTATTCGTTTAAAATAAGGAAATCTCAAAGGCTTTCAGCCACAGGCCAGGTTCCAATTGAAGCCAACCTAAATCTTAAATAAACTCCTGATGATGCTCACAGCCACGAAATGTACATCTTCGTTTCATTTCCCGGTGCTTCGGGATATCCGAGAAGGAGAGAGGCAGGATCTAACGATCTGAGAAAAACGGAGAATGTTGCTCCCCTTACTTTCAACTCTTTACTGACATATTAGGTTATCACGCTGTTAAAATACGTTGGGAAAAGAGAAACACCGCTCCGACATACGTTAAACAATGGGTATTTACATAAGAATTTTTGCCCTCTTAACACAATGGGGATTTGCTTTCGTGAATTAAATCATTGTCATGACGGTCGCATGGACTGGCTGGTAAAACTTTCAAAGGATGAGATTTCCTTAATTGTGTTAATGGTCTATCACAACTTTTTACGTACATTAATCGAGGATGTTATTCATTTATACTTTACTTGCGACCGTGCAATACAAGTTTTGTCAAATAGTGTTTATTTTTTCTTTGAAAACATTACCAATATTTGAGAACCGAATTAAGAATGGACAAAATAAAGAACGTTAGATGAGAGAGTGTTACGGTCGACTACAAATAAAAATGTAGAAGATGCTGTTAATAAATAACGCTTTTCAATTTTAGTATTCTAAGTTGTTCTTTACTTTTTAATTGGTTATTTATTCTGCGTATAATTACTTACCCGTCATGGCTTGTTCTTCACAACGTGATATAGTTGGAAAAAAGTTTTACCGCCACAGAAAAAATGAAGACGCGTTTCTGTCTTTATCCATGTGCATTTGGACATCTTTATCCGTGTAAAATTCAGTCTAAAGTGGGAAACAGTGTTTTAAAGTAAGGTACGTTCAGTAATCCATCTGTGATGGGTACTAATTATAGATACTAAAACAAGCTACTAATTAGACACGCAATTCGAGGAAGTCTGCATAGTTCTACTTTATAGAATATAAAATGTCATTATAGAATAAAAAAGAAAATCAATATTTTCTTTTAGCCTCATCTATACATTTTATATTCTATAAAATAGAACTGTAGGATAATTACTTTGACCAAAATCACCGTAACCATTTCAATAAAGAAACACTTAAACTATATACCGAGCATTATGCAAGCTCAGGAAGTATCTTGGTCGGTTGAAGGTATTGTTCGTTTAAAGTTAATTCGGCTATTAAATTCGATTATTACATTTGGTTATATATGGGTGGACCCGGTCCACGATTTTAAACTTTTGAAAGCGTAAAAAAAAATAGATCAATATTTATCTACAGCCTCTACTTTCTCGTTTGTTCTGTCGCTGTTCAAATTTCTGTGCAGGGTACATTCCGTGCACCGTTACCAACAAACATAGGACGGGGAAATCGTTATCAGCCGTTTAAATGCATGTTCCCTATTTATCCCGATATTTGTTCGCTGAGTATTTGCGCAATCACCAACGTAAACATCATTTTTGTCGTCCGAATCGACGAATTCAAAGGAAATTTGATAAATACATAATTCACCGACCGCATGCCTGACGCCTCATTGCATTTTCACTTACAACAGCGTGTACGGTGGCTCGGTCCTCTCGAAACGTTCGCGTTCCCTGAATAGTTTGTGAATTATGAAGGAACTAGTCTGGCAGTGAATTCGAAGTCGTAGCACCCTTCGTACAGACACGCGATTCTAACGAAAGTGCCGCATGAGAACCGCGAAAATGGAACTAAGACGAGCGGATTTCTCGCACGGTTTCCTGCCAGCCGTGCCACTCGCACGAACTGACACCGATTTTATATTTTTCTACGAGAAAAATATCCACCAACGTCATAATGGCCTCTAATGCCCGCCTACAGCGCGACGTTCGGTTGTATTTCAGGTTTAATGAAAGTTTCGTGAAAGGAAGAAAGAAATGTTTTCACGAAATCAACGGCAGATCATTCTTAGAAGATCTTGGAAGTAGAGGTGTTTGGTTCGTCACTGACATAAAAGGAAATTACGTAACATACGTCAAATATAAAATACGTAACAGTATTGTTTTCACCGTGAAGTGTGTAATTTTAGTATACGCCGTTCTTGACAGATAATATCATTTGCCTATCACGATAAAGTCCGATTTTTGTCGACATTACTGCCCACGATTACTAACGACAAAGTCATTCGTGCTGTTCTCTCATTAGGAATATTTACTTTTGATACGTACACATATACACCTAGTGCGTACCAACAGATGACTGACAATGAAAATCGAGTATACTGGTGGACATGATTCCCATCATGCCTTGGCGATACCATATCTACAGGGAAGGTGTTCACGTCCACAACTATATTTCTCACTTCGGCATATCAAAAGGGAACGGACCACCATAATGATCTATTTGTTCAGTTCTTGACCACAATACACCTGTACGTGATGGAACTCTATCTAGGAAATTAACTCAATCCGAGAGTGACACCATCGTCACACATTACACCGAACGCAATTAATCTATTGGAATCAACGCATGGCGTCCACGTTGGGGGTATTAGTAAAATTTTCAATCATTTTCAAGATAATGGTTCTTCCAGTAACTTAAAAATCTCCCACGGTACAGGTTCATGTTCTCCATTAATTTGAATTAAAAATTGACCCTTCTCGAATTTCAGGGAAACCCACGAAACGAACGATAATTGACACCCCGAGTCATCGTCTTGACGAAACGTTCCGATCGTCTTTCCTTTAGCATCTGGTTCTCGTTTCAACGTTCCCGATCTGCGAAACAGTTGGCGCAAGAAGCTCGATTATTTTTTTCTTTTTTTTTTCCTTCGTTGAACACATGAAAGTGGCAACGAGCAAGAAGAGGAGCGAAGCCAACCGATTTCGCTGCCGGGTTGCACTCGCTCCCGTTCAGTCGAAACAGACTCCCATTGACGAGACATCTCGAGCCGTCAAATTGATTAGTAAATAGAGCAGAATCCCACCGACAACTCGCGGTCTGTTGGCCGAGTATTTACGGTTAACGTATCTGCAAGTCGTGCCCTTTTTTTTTCCGATGGTCATTCTCCAGGGAGCGATCTGCGGCGATCGATACTTTACACGTCGATATCTTTATGGGTTTTGCGATAACGGGGTGCAAGATGCGGTGTGTCGCGATACCGACTATGAGGCCCACCTGATTAGAAGTCCCAGCCAGAAATACGTTTCCGCGTAACCTGCGTTAAGGTGACCTGAAAGAGACAGCCTATATACATC